CGCTTGATGAGCAATCTTCTTCAGATGTTCAAGAAAAATATGATAACAGTATTCTCGAACAAGCAAAAGAAATCTGAGGTTTCGAAATTCTTGACGAAGAAAATTTTGTAGATTTTTTTCAAAGTGATGCATGTGAGCTTGACTTATTTGACAGATGAAGACATCGTTATGTTGTTAAATCAAATAGTAATGATAGTAACTGATGCAGAAGATGTAGTAAATGAGGGAAATACAATTTCTCATTCTGCTGCTCTGTGGAAATTTTATTAGATTATATGGGAGGATTTGATTACGGTGACATTATAGCGGTTCGTAAAACATGTGTATCGATATATGACGAAGACGCATTACACAATTTTTTAAAAGGAAAATTCCTAGTTTGATGTTATACAGCATGCAAATGTCAGTAATTTTTATATTTTTTGTACTGATATTGATTTTTTCTCTAATTAAAGAAGTTTTCGGATTATCCGTGTTTTTCGATTGTCCGTGCGACTTGTCCCGGTGATTAACCCGGATAATCGGGAGTGCACTGTATATATATACTTCATTTTTACTGTGTACTTCATACTTCAATGTACTATGTACTTCAGTGTATAGGTGGGAAAACAATCCGGATAATTGGACTATCTGACAGATAATCGGTGCTCTACTGTTTTTCTTAGATTGGTTTATAAAATGTGTCAATCAAGAAGAGCATAATTTATGCGTTCATGGCGTTTTTACAAAATAGTTTTTGGCTACTCAGAGAAAAAGTTAAACAATATTTCTTTCAGAAGTTTGCAAATTTTATAAATTAAAATTAAACATAAATTTTGCTTTAGGCAAAGTTATACCTTTTATTTGAGTTTAATTCTAAAATTCTTAAAAATAGTTTAAATTAAAGTTAAAATATGAATAAATTAAAATAACATAAAAAATCAAAAAAGAGCTCTACTTTTTTGCAGAAGTATGGTCAGGGGTTTGTGACTTGCTTATTTCTGCTGACAAAGGAGAGTCAAAGAGTGCCAAAAATAATTAGATTAGGTAATATTTGAATGGTGCCCTAGAATTGTTAGTTTGTCAAGTTTAATGTTGGTTATTAATCAATATATTGATGTTAATATGCTATTTTTAAACAATTAGTAAAATTATCCACTTTACACTACTCAACAAGAACCTGAAATTATTTGAGAATTTTAATTTGAAAAAAAAAAAGCTATTGAACTAAATGCATTTAAAAAAAAAAAAAAAAAACAGGAAAAATTCTGAAATTGACTTGTAAAATGGATTTTCATTGAATTCATGGTAATAATAAGTAGCTAATAAAGTTTAAAGTAAGGAACTCCAGTCACCAGTGTAAGTTTGTACAATAAATAATTAATAAAATAAAACGTTTTTAACTATTTTATGCTTTAATTTGTTTTCTAGATTTAGTTATTGAATAACAAAGATGTTTTCAGATGTATAATTGACAAAAATATGGTCCAGAATTTTGTTGAAATGTCCTAAGAAAGGCCAATTTATACCTATCAGCCCTGTGGCAGAATCGAGACGACATTGTTACAGAACGTTACAGAGTTCTTGCAGAAAGATTTTTCGTTTGAAAAGTAAAAAATGTTACTTTTCTTTTCTACAGAAATTTACACGTAAAATTTTAATCATACATTTAGATAAAAGCTTTTTGATGCTCTTAATTTACGCCGATAGTATCGTAAATCGATGTAATGTTTTGATTGGATTTTCGGCAGTTACTGATATTGATTTTCATGTGGTTTTCAAGTATCTCGATATGTTTCAAACAACATTCGAACCGTGCATTTGAGTATTAACTTTTTAAGGAAATAATTGTACTGAATTTTTGGCAGTTATTGCAATTTATTTCTTCATAGTTTTTAAATTCGATATTTTTTATACGATATTATTTATTACACCAACCTAATCTCGAAACGTAACACACGTTTGAGGAGTCCGATTCGCGTGTTTTTGTCGCTGATCTTTTCCCCGGCTATTACTACTATTTATTTCGTTATTTTTAATTATTTTCTTAAATTATGATTATTTACAAAATGCAAAGAAGGAAATAATTTGTGCTTCCCCCCCCTTCCCCAACAAAATGCAAGAATATCACCCATACTATTATAATAAAAAAATTTTACATGGTCAATTTAAAAAAAAATTATAGTTTTTTATGTAAACACTGCGCTATTGTTATTTTAAATTAGTGACATGCACGTTTGTTATTATTAAAAGTATCTTATTGAAAGATATCAGTGACAGTGAGTTTTGTCGCAGATAGTTCAAAAAAATTCTGCCGCAGGGCCCATCAGGTACTGCAAGTCCATAATTTTGTCAAAACGTCCTAAGAAACGCTAAAGATCCCCAGTTTATACCTATCAGCTACTAGCTTATACTGTCTTAATTGAATATGATTTGTTTTAGGATGTTCCACCGAGAAAAGCATGTGCCCACGATAACTTGAGGAGAACGGTTTCAGACATGAATATCCCTGCCAAAGAAAGTAAAAGTTTTTCTTTGAGTAATGTACCTGAAGACATGGAAGCGATTGAGAAAAGCTTGCAAGTGCCGCTTTTAGAAATGAAACAGCGCAGTTTATCAGTGCCATCCATTGAAAAGACTGTTTGCGAAGAAGAGAATTTAAAGAATCTTCCATCGATTCAAGAAGCAGAAGAAGTTGGGTGCGATTGTGTCGACAAGAACGAAATGTTTTGCTCTTCGACTTCTGATTTTGAAATTTTGGATTCAAATCAGCAATTTTTAGGTACAAATATATGAGTTTTTTTAATGCTGTTCTTTAAATGCTCTGTCGTCATCTGAAATATTGTTTTTTAACCAATAACATGCTGGTTTTATGCATGTTGTGGGGTTCTAACAATTATTTATTCATAATTGGATTAAGCTTTGTCTATCATAAGCCAGTACTAATACAGAGAAATGAATTAATTTTGAGTTTGAGGTACATAAAAATTCAATATTTTTCTAAAATGTCTTGTAATATTTTTTTAAAAATTGTTTATTTTCAATTCTAAGAGCCAGTGTATGTACTTTATACTATATTTGATGTATGAGAATAAGGCATATAACTTAAAAATTAATAATAAAATTTAGGATACCAATTACGAAAATCGGGGATAAATTGTACCTGGAATTTTCCTGTAAAAGAGGAATATTTTCCTAAATGTTTGTAATCACAGTTGGTGCAAAATATGAATAAGTAAGAAGCTCTCAGTTTCGAGGAAATGAAAAGGATTTGTGATCTTATTTTTCAATAGTGTTATTCTAACAAAGCATTGTTTAGGCTCATTAAAATAAGCAAAATTTCAGAACCATTTGATTAATCTAAGTGGTGAAGTCTTTCACAATTAATAATGTAAAAAAAAAAGGAAAGTTGATTTTTTACATAAATATTTAAAATATTTGTCTCCTTTTTAAGTCCAGTCATTTCATTTTAGTAAGGCAATGTACATAATTTAAAATAAAATCTTCGCTTTTAGTTTAATTCGCTTAAACTGAAGCCTATTAAATCACATTTTATTGTGGTTTGATAACTTTCATAGTTTTATTTTATAAATCTTATTATATTTAAGTGAAAAAAGGCTTAAATGTAGTGGTACATTCTTATGTTAATGATGAGGATAGGATTTATATCTCATATTAACAAGTATTTAACTGCTACTATTATTTGGTTAATTTATACCATTCATATCCATAATAATTTATATGCTTGTATTGCTTATGGAATTGCAATGTCTTAACTTTCAAACATGTTTACAATATCGAAGCTTCTGTATTGTTAAATCTTAAGTGAAATCACAGAAAGGGACATACTGTAGTTTCTGTTCCATAAACAAGAACCTTCTTGAGTGTCTAAATGCTACACTCTTTTTTGTGTGTTTAGACATTGAGGACGGTTCTTAATTATGGACTTTTGGGTTATGTTTGTGCTTTATTTTGTAGCTATTTATATCCCATATTTGTGCTTTATTCATGTCTTGCTTTACTCATACACAGCACAAAACATATCCTATATTCGTTTTGTTAGTTTTGTTCTTTATTTTGTTAAACATTTAGGAAACAACAGTCATACGCAATTGCAGTAAATGCTCTCAGCTCATTACAATATGTCAAATTAAGCAATTTCTTTCCAATTTCTCACCTTCTTTTGGCTATAGTTTGGCTCATTTAAAATAGAAACATGAATCTTAACACCTTGCCAAAATGATTTGAATCATATCCTGAATTGTGTGCTCGTTTGTGTGGTTGATTTCCCTATTTTGAGAACATCAATATTTGTTGTATTTTAGCTGTGGATGAATATTTATTTAGCATTTTTAATTTCAAGATGAAATCCGAGGTAGCGAATTTTTTCAACATCATAATGTATTCCTGTAACAGAAAAACTCCATATGACAGCAGGGGGATGGGGATGCAGATTATTTTTCATCTCATGTTAATATATATGCAACACTTACTCAACTGGTCCTTAACAAAATGTGTTTGTTATTTTGCAGACAAGAAAAAGAAAAGTTATGACTTTCAAAAAATGTTCTTTAAATAAGTGAAGGAGCTGTTTTAGGCTGAATAATTTTCCCTTCAATATTTTTCAATCTTTAGCAAGTAAAATAAATGATGACAGGAATAAGGAAATAACACAAACAATTTATTTTACACTTTTTGGAACAGCAACAAAAACATGATGCCACTCACCACAAAACAAATATATATATACAAGAGATTGGAAATTAAATTAAAGAGGGAACATAGAGCACGCTACATAAGTATAAATTTTTAATGTAAACAATTTTAAAAAATAAGAAAAAAGGAAAATATAAATTCTTACTTTCTGCTAACTCTAATGGCTTGTCTCTCGATTGACATAACATATTCCAGTCTAATCTTAAATACAGACTAGACTTGATTGCAAACAAAAAACAGTTTATTTTTAACTCAGCAAATAAAATTTAAAAAAAAAACCCTGTGACAACTCTACAAGAGAGGATCTCCATCAAGCTTACTATCTTCTAAACTAAAACATCACTGACTGACTGAGTTAACTGCTCATGCGCAGTTTATTTTCATTCCAGTTGAGGTTACGGGGGATATCACAAGGTATAAAGACTAACTAAATTTTTAAATTTCAATAATTTCCTTATCTCATTCTTTTAAGAATGTATCTAATTTATTAAAATTGAAATAAAGTTTTAAAATTTTTTTTTTTATAATTTTTTTTCTGCCTTATATGTGCTAATTTTAGTGTACACATAATGAATATATAATATAACATAAGCTAATTTTACTGTACACATCTAAGATTTTCATAATAATAGTCTCTGCAGATTCATATCAACCAGCCATCACTGGGGTTCGAATCCCGGCGATGGCTGGTTGATATGAATCTGCATCCTGTTTGCACCAACCACAGGGCTGATGTGAAATATCCTCAGAGGTAGATGGATCATGGGTTAGAGTCCCCTTGCTGTGAGGCTAACTGTGAGAGGTTCTCGTGGTCTTCTTCCCCCTGTAACTCAAACGCAAATTAGTTCCATCAAAAAAGTCCTCCACGAAGGCAAATTTCTCCCAATACTTGATTCAGGGGTTCCCTTGTCTTTTGTATTGGGTTCAAAATGACAAGGCTACGTAGTTGAATATTAGTAGTCATAAACCCAAAAATTGGGTTGGCTGTTCGACGACAGACATAAAATAAAATATAAAATAATAATCTCTGTCTGATTGTGTTAATGATGTGTATTTGAATTCTGATTGTGATTATTTGTGTATTATTTTGATTTTGTGTTTAAATTCTCTAAGATTATACTGCAGATTGACTTTGCGAATTCCACTGCCATTAACCAACTTGGCATAGAGAGATATTTAAAGTACAGTTCCTAGCCAAATAATTAGACGCACTATAATATTCTATGAGAAATCTTAATTATCAGGTGATACTATACAACTTCAATGTTTTTATTCTGTTTGTAATTGCTTATGTTTCGTTATCAATTGGTTAAAGTAGATGATATATTACATAAATTCGACGATAGATTATATAAATATGGAATATTTATTATATCAAGCATTGTATTAGTATATTGTAATAATTTGATTAAATTATTAGACGCACTGTAGTGTCTTAATAATGACAAGTTTTGCATGAGTTTATATGCAATTCTTTTATATTTAAACACACATGCATGGTTTTTTATTCGGGAGATTTTTTATTTACTTCCTGTTCGTATTTGTTTTTAACATATTGCATTACTATGTTAACCGATGGATACACGAACTTAAACAAGTACAAAACGCTTGAACAAGTACAAAAACAAACGCTTAAACAAGTACAAAAAGTAAAATTTTTTTATTGAATTATTGTTTTGTTTCATGTTAATATGAATTTTTTTTCTAGATTCCAGGAAGGCAGATTATCTCACCCAAGGAAATTATGGTGCTTCTGTTTTGCAAACAGAGGTAAGACGCTTTATTCTATGATTTTAAAGTTACTTTATGTTTTGACTTTTAAAACTGAAAAAAAAAATCTTTCTCTATAGTCTTTCTTAAAGTCATTGTGCACTTTTGATCTTTACACTGATTAAAAGTACACCATAACTTTATGAACACACTGTAACTTTACTTTATGTACCCAACTTATATACCCACCATAACTTTATGTACCCAAAACAAATATGTATATATTTGTCTTCTTTTTCTTTCTTTTTTACAAATTTGGTGGTTATGCACAACTAAAAAAATTTTTTTGGAAACCACTGTTATAGAAATAATTTTTGGTAACTTGTGTTAAGTTACAAGTAATTCTAAATTCTTGTAGATCAATTCTTATAGCAATGCTGAAAACCTTACAATTAAATATTTTCCTTTTCAGATGATGTTAGCTTCTCAATATGATAGAACTCAGATAATCGGGAATCGTGTTGCTGGTGGCTGGATGTAAGAACTATTTATTTTTTATTTTTACTGTGGTATCGCAATATACTTAACACAAGTACTATAGTACTTTATATAGCTATGGACAGAATTTCTTTTTGGAGATAGTCCAAATTCATGTGTGTGCTTATAGTTAATTATTAATTCATGTCTGTGGTTTTGTAATCAAGACTTTAACTATTTTCTGATGTACCCTCAAATGTTTCCTGCCCCTGTTCCCCATGCAAGTCTTAATCATTTTCTACAGCGATGTAGCAATATTAACAGTCATATTAGACTGAGAAGAAATTTATTGTCAATTAAAATTTCAACCTCTTTCCAACCAGCTAGAATGAACATATTTTAACAGAAACACTGTGTTGAACGACAAAGCAAGTCAAATTATTTTTTAAGTGGTCTAATTTTGAATTTATTTCCACTTTTTTTTAAAAGTCATTATCATCAATCAAATTTCTGGCATTTTATTCATTACATGGTGCAAAGCATTTTTAAAAAGTGCTTTAAAGGTGCTTATTTTCGTTTTTTAAAAGCCCTTAAAGGTGCTGTTTTATTGGGAGTTTTTAAAAAGTGCTTGATTTTCCCTTTCCAAAAATGAGAATTTTTTCTTTACCGTGTCAATTTCCGCCACATATTATGCAAAAGGGTGTTTTTCACATCGTTCTATTCAACTTTTTTACAATTCATTCAAACACAATACATTTTGGTGTATCGTCCGTAACGTATGAAAGCTGCAATAATTTTACTTTTTGATAAAATATTTGCGGGTCCGCATGTACATATACTGAGCTGGGTTCGGTGAAATTCTTGCACTCTCGTGTGCAACTCTGATACATTTTGCAAGATATTCTTCATTTCAGACTTCATTTCCCACCCTCTGAAATCGAACAGAAAAATCTCTTAATCATTTTATGGTGGCTAATATAATCAAGAAAAGAGTTCTTTGTCAGAAACTAGTTATTTTATCATTATCAATCATGTAAAGTCTTTGAAAACTATTTTGCATTTTGTTTATGTATATAGTGCTCTTGAATATTCTTTTAGTTCTTAAAAAGTGCTTATTTTTTGTTGAAAGATTTGGCTACACACCCTGGATTAGCTAGGGTGCTGAAGGCTCACTGATAGCTCTATCCTAATAGCAATACAAGTTTCAAATAACTTGGTAGTCAGATTCATGTCAAACTAAGAGCTTCTCAACCAAACATGTGCTTATTTCGTGGATCTTCCTAAATCCTATTCTTTGGACAGCTTCTTGGGTATCGTTGAAGTACAAAGAGTATTTGTCCTCCTCAATAGTTAGAGAAATCTCAAAAAAGTCCTTTCTAATATACAGAGAGAGAGATATGAGATAATTTTAAGAGAGATTCTAAACTTTTTGGCAAATATGAGATGAGTTTCAATAAGATTGCTATCAGTGAGGATGAGGTGATTGCTGGACTGTAATTGTGTTTTGTCCTCCTAAAAAATTAGATGTCTGTGGACTGCTTAAGAAAGTTAATGAAACTATGTGGAAAGTGTTTCTTCAACTTTCTTAAGCAATCCGCAGTCTTAAGCAGTTTTCAAAAGAGTTTATATTGGGGAAAAATTCTATATTGAATTGTTAATGTTCTCATGCGAACTGATTAATCAGTTGTATACAATCTGTCGTTATATAATCTACAGTATTCAATCCACAGCAGTTCTATGCAATTCATAGTGGAGTAGTTGTATACATTACAAAGTATGTTGTGCAGTAATGTACAATTCACAGTTTGGGGTACTTTTCTTAACAACTAAAATGTGACTGCCATTTTCACTGTATTTCTGAACACTATGTGTCCATTATCATTTGGGTAACCTTTATGATATAAAAGTTACCTTATACTATAACTGTTTTTTAAGAGGATAACTGATATAAGGCTGTTCATCTTTAAAAATAATAATTTATGTTCATCAATCTTTTAAAAATACCAAATTTTTAATTCTTTCATGCATTTACAAGTTTTAATTATTATTATTTTGTTACTTTTCAGCCACTCATCAAATCATAAAGGAATTCCAGTTCTTACAAAAAGCATTAGTCTAAAAGTCATGAAAATTTTTAGGTAAGATATATTTCAATGCTTTACCTTTTTTTTTATTCTTTATAATATTTTTCATTTATTCATTACACAGCTATTTTTTTCATCAACTTGAAGTTTCCATTCATGGCTTTTTAAAACTTTTGTCTGAGACATATTTTTAACATCAACTAAAGACATGTAATAAAATTTAAACCAAAAAAAATTTTTTTATCCTGGCAATTGAATTTAGAAAATATTCATGGCTGCTTTGAAATATTGTTTGTTTAAATAATAAAACACTTTTGCTTTTCTAATAAAATAAAAAGTACAGTTGAATTTATATACTAATGCCTTAAATATGCTAATTAATTATTAGATGTGTATTAATTAGTGCAGAGAGCATTATAAGTTACAAAATCAGATAGAAGAACATATTTTCTCTGAATAAACATATTCATTTTCTGTCAAATCCAGATTATTTTCCCCTCAAAGTCTGGGCATGGATTGCAAGTTTCTTCCTTAGTGAAAAACTATTGAACAAATCATACAAAAAAGCTGCTCGAGAAGAAATAGGATTCTCCAACTTAAGTGGAAGAAATGAAAGAAACTCTTTTCCAAAAAGAAGTATCTAATATTTAAACAGATTTCTAAACATTTTATATTTGATGTCTAGTTTAAATAATATCAAGTTAATCATTTTATTTTTAAATAAGTAAAATTAAACAAGAAGCAAGTGTAAAAATTTTTTTTTATCACTTTCTTAAAAAATTAATACAACTAGTTTTTTAATATTTAATGCTAATGAGTAAAGTAAAACCTAATTTTATAATTACATAAAAAAACTGTTAAAATAACATTATCAAATTTTATTAACAAAACTAAATTGAGAAATTATGTGCTAAACATAGACACTACCAAAATACACTCATTAATTCCAAATAGCATGCTAATTTTTATAAATAAATAGTGTTAAGCATGAATACTCAAACTGACTCTTAAATAATATGATATATAGTTTAAAAATTCTACGTAAAATTGAAATATAAATAAATAAAAAAGTTACTTTAAAAAAAAAATTAATTGTGAAAAAGTTTAAACTTTCTGTTACTATGTTAAATTCAATTTATTTAAATTCAAATTATTTTTATAATGCTTAATGCTGAACAATTGTATTGGTTATTTTTAGTTTCTTCCATTTTGTTCAGTTCTTTCCTTGAGCCTTGTTTCGCAGTTTTTGTCTGTTTCTTTCATTGGCCAAGAAAAAATATGTTTTTTTTTCCTGGATGAAATGATAACCTCTGAGTGAGTATGGGAGATAATTGTTATCTAGAATATTGCTATCTAGAATACTGCGTTAAAATGTATCTATCAGGAAAGAAACTTAAAGCTTCAGATCTTTGATGTTATTTAAATTTTTTTTTATACCATATTTCTGGAACTATCATCCTTCATCATCATCAATGGCTTGACAGCCCAGGGTCCCTCAACAGCCCTTGACCTTCTCAAGAAGTTTTTTCCATGCTAACCTCTTTCCTGCTAGCGTTTTTTCAATTTTTAGTTTTTAAGACTAAAAGGTCTTTTTCTAGGCCATCTATCCATCTTAAATTCAGCCTGCCTCTTTTTCGTGTGCGAACTGGTCTGGCATTGAAAACTCTTTTTGTGTTATGGTCTTCGTCCATTCTGATAACGTGGCCTGCCTATTTTATTCTTTGTCGTTTAATAAAGTTAATAATGTCAGGTTCATTTTATGAGTGATAAAGCTCTAGATTTGATCTTCTAAGCCACATACTATTTTTTAGAATTCCTCCAAAAATACTTCTCAAGACCTTTCTCTCAAAGGTACCCAACATAGCCTCATCCGTACAAGATAGGGTCCAGGTTTCAAAAGCATATGTTAAAATTGATCTTAAAAGGGGATTTATTTAATAAAACTTTAGTTTTTCTATGAATTACATTAGATTTTATGTATTTTTGAATTCCATTAAAGCATCTATTGGCTATATTGATTCTCCTTTGTATTTCTATTGTAATATTGTTCCTGTTGTTGATTAAAGAGCCCAAGTAAATGAAATTGTCAACAACCTCAAATTTATATTCTTCAATATTATATTCTGGAACTAAAAAAATAATTTTTAATAACCCTGACCAAAAAGGGTTGATACATAAACTACTTAAATTAATTGGTGCCATTTTTAAAGACAAAGATCAAAATTTGAACAAAATCTATTCAATAGTTCTTGAGAAATTTATATTTTAAAAAAAGACTGTTTAATTAAAATTTAATTTTTCTCATGCTATTAAACAGATTTTATTTTAAAATTTAGGATTTTTTTGCCCTTAGGAGATATGTTTAATGAGAGAGACTTTGTTTTTTGTGTGTGTCCGATTTTATAACATAAAATATTGTCTACACTTACTGATACGGTTTTTATTATTCTTTAATCCTTTGTTTCCCAACCTTTTTTAGTTGATCGCAGGCTAAAAATGTCTGGAATTATTTTCAGAACACCTGAGTGTTAAAAAAATGGAATAATTGTATGGTAACGAAAACACAAGTTAAAAAATTTTGTGCATTTATTCAATGAAGGGGTAGAAATCAATCAGTACATTTGACAAAATTTCACGACACGCTAGTGGGCTGCAGCATACAGGCCTAAATAACAGTGCCTTTAGCCGATTAATTGATTCATTTCAATCAGATTATATTATATATAATCTGATTTTCACTGGATGCTTATGTATTTGTTAAAATCCAATGGCTTTAATTATTTTAAGTGTTTAAATTGTTCTAAATTTACTAAGTTCTAAATTTATGAACTGATTTTTTTGCAGTACTTGTATCATCATTTTGGTTTCTTACAGTTTGTTAGAAGAATTACTTTTAGAATATTAATTACATATTTAGTCCTAGAATATTTCATGTATTTTTTTTCTTTCAGTTTTTTGTGCCAAACTGACATACCCGTAAATTATAAAGATGCTTGGAAATGTGTTAAAAATCCTAGATTTAGATTTATCTCAGACGAGACAGTCAAGGTAAAATGTTATTATTAATTATTTTAAATTAATTATTGAGTATCTTTATTAATTTTTATATTTCTTTTGTTAATTATTAAATTTCTTTAATCAATTGTTAAATTTGTTTCATTAAAAAAAATAAGTTATTTCGTAGGTAAGAACATTTAAAGTTTGTAGTAAAAAGTTAGTTTAAATTATTGTTTTAATTAATTTATATTATTAATTTTTAAATTAGCTAGCCTTGAAAACTATTCTGTGCTATGAAGGTTGAAGTACAATTTAAATTTTGTTAGAGTAAATTCTATGATACTTTCAAATTTTTTTGAAACAGTTAAAGTGTAAACCTTATTTATCACATCTTGTTTAACTTTTTATCAGACTTTCACATTCTAAGAGTTTGTCCTTAAATAGAATAGTGGTTCAATTTCACATATAAAAGAGTCTCACTTCCATATATCTGTTTCAGAATTTTCTTAAATTTGTTATATTTTAAGTAAGACTTTTGTTATATTCTTTAATATGCTATACTTTAAATAGTTTGCATACCTCCAGCTGATTTCTACTACTAAACTGAGAACACCGACAATCAGATTAGATTGGATAAACAGACTTAAATGTTCTGTGTCACTACATGAATAAAGAATGAATTATTCTATTGATTCAAACAAGGCCTATATGAAGTCGAGGCCCCGAAAGAATTAATCTCTATTTACCGAGTTTTGCAAGTAAACACTGTTTTCTTTTTCTCTGTTTAAAAGAGTAGCAAAGCTCTATATTTATTGGTTAATAAACCTCTTTGATTAGCAAATTATTTCAACAATTAAAGAAATACTTTTTTTGATTTTTAGTTAAAGTAAATATTTGATTGTAATAATATACATAGAGTGAAACTTTGATTAAGCAGACATTCTTGAGACCGAAAAAATTGTCCATTAATTAGAGTCATCCATTTACAGGAAGGGTACCTTAATAACGAAGTAAGTTGTTTTTAGAATATTTCAAAGATATAGAAATAATCTACAACAACTATTTACAAGAATATTTATTTAAACTTAAAAAAATATTTTTTCGATAAAAAAATACATTAAAAAGCTTAATATAAATACATAATTCTAGATGTAGCTGCAGATAAAGGAATATAGTTTTCTTTTTAGCACAAATATTCAAACTAGACATATGATACCGAATAAAAGCTTTTAGTCCTAAGTCGGTTTCAATTATCAAGTTTACATCCCATAACACCTACCTATCACTTGATAGGAAACAGGGTTAATACCTCCTTGAAAGTAAACCTCTCACGATCCACAGAAAAAAAAAGCTATGCAAACTTGTAAGTCATGAGGACCTATGGAGTTGATTATTCACAATTATCTGAGTGTCTTAATAAATGTTTCATTTCTATGAACACCTCAAATATTATACTTCTGTTCTTTTTTTTTACCCCAGCTGTGTTGAATAGTCTTCAAATTGATAAGAAAATTAAAGAAATTTTCAGTGGGAAAGAAGCATTAAGAACAGAACTGTGTCTTACAGATGAAAAGAACAAAGATGCCGCTGTCCGAATTATTTCAGGAGAGCAGTATCATTTTTTCTCCTTTCTTTGCAAAGATAGAGCAAGGGGACGGGTGAAAGATTGATTCTTTAGTAGTGAAATAGCTTAACAATATTTTTTTTTATGGATAAGGCAAAAAATTTACATGCTTTAAAAATGGTGAAAAGTTGTATTTTTTTTTGTCTTGCGATTTAAAACAGAAATAGTTATTTTTTTAAAATTTAGGAAAAGTAGTGTCCGGTTTGAAGAGGTGGAAAATAACGTTTCAGGGCAAAAATGACTGTCCGCGTTTGGTTAAGGGAATGTCCGGTTTGCAGAGAATGTACCCAATGGTTTATTCATAGAAGATTCCCGGGGAATTAAAAATATGCCGTATTGAGAGGCGTTCGCTCTGCAGGAGTGTCCATAACAGGAGGTCTCGCTGTATATAATAATATACGAGTATATATAAAATTGTAAATATATGAGTTTGAAAAATATTTGATTGCTTTTTGAATGACTACAATATACATCTTGACTGAAAAAAGATTGGCTTTAGATGGTTATGTAATGATGGAGAGTCTATTTGTACATTTGAAGTTGATGAAATTCCTCGTTTATTTAAATGATACTGATGCAGAAGTCAGTAATAAATCTCCTTATAAAATTGTTCTTTTCTGTGACGTTTTTCATTATTTGAAAACTCTGCAAATATGCTTTTTAGAGAAAGTTAGAATTTTTATTTTTCCCCCTGATAATATGAATAATCTTTATTTAACCTTTAAATTTTTCAATCTTGATAAATTTTGGTCTGTATGTTATTTATTAAATTGCAAAACTGCTAACAATTTTTAAATTGCAAAATCAGATACCAATAGTTTTTGTTTCGTAACCGATACAGATTTTGACTCTACAATCAAAAATATAGTGTCTATAATTTCATTTACAGAGAGGTTTAGTTATTCAATTTTAATTTTACCTTTTGAATATGGGTATATCTTTAAGTATTTATGCAATTCTAAAAACTTTTGTTAGCAGGTAAAAAATCTAGTTAATAAAAAAAAAAGTTTAAAAATTATTTATATTTATTTATTTCATAATGATCAAAACTGATTTGTAATTATTTTATATTCTTACATGGTTCATCCCATTTTTACATTTCATCAAACGATTATGAAATCTTAATTCTTCTTTTTAGTTATAATTTATTGCTTATATAGTTATAATTTATTTAATAAGTTTAGTTATAATCTATTCAATACTTATTTTTAATTTTAATTAAATTTAAATCATATGTTGTGTAGTTATCATAAGTTGTGTAGTTAAATCATAAGTTGTGTAGTTGTATAAGTTGTTTTAAACCATAAGTTGTGTAATCAAAACCATTCAAAGATTAATTTTTCTTTATTATTGCTTAAAAATAAAATCAAGTTTTTTTTATTTATTTAGACTGTGCAGATTATTGATAGAATTTCAGATTCACAAAGACTAAGTAAGTAATATTTTTTTTCATTATTATGGTATTTTTTAGCAATTTTGCATTATATTGGTTTTATTAAATGTTCATTTTATTAACTTTCATCCATTTACTGTGCAACATGATAATAACAACACTAGTTACTGAAGTATTCAATAAAGCAGTATTTCCCAAATAGTGCTCTACCAAACCTTACGATTTTGCGGAAGATTTGTTCCAAGAGTTAGGATTTTTCTTAATCTGTTATAATTTTTGAAATCATTAGTTATATTCAGATCAAATCAATAATCTATTATTTATTTAGTAATTTAGTTGTATTTAATAAATTAATGTAAAATTCCAGTAAAAATTTGTGAAATATTTTTTTTTAAATTTAATTTTCCTTATTTTTTTTCTTAATATACTGAATAAATTATGAAAAGAGCATGCATTTATAAGAAATTGCCTTATTATTTCCCATGACAATTTTTAAATCAAAATAATTTAACTTAATTTGTTAATAAAAGAATATCTTTCCCTAATAACCATTTTCAATGTGCATAGAATTTTTTAGTTTTCATTTCAAAGAGAATCATAGTTCAGCTATACACATTCAGCTATTCATTCAAAAATTCTATGCTGTTTCTACACTGTTGATTTTTTGAATAAAGAATGAAAATTAAAAACACATCAAATCTTCTGCATTTTAAATAATTCTTTTTTTTAAGCAAATTAATTTTTTTTAAAGAGGAATGTTTTATTACTGCCCTTGTTTATATTTCAAATTTTGAACAATCAAGAAAGGAATAAAATTTTTTTTTAGTTGGCCTATTGGGCAGTGTTAGTTCTCTATTAAAAAAAATTTTTTTTTTTTAACAAGATTCATAAAATAATTTTAAAATAAAATTATTCTTCCAGTTCATGTGTATCATGAAATGAGTGGTATATTGAGGAAGGAAGCCCTTGACTTCTGCCTTTTGCAGACAGAGAGGGAGGAGACGAGTAGTTTTTATTCCGTCTTCCAATCCATTGAATATGAAAAATGTCCTTTCATGCCAGCAGTCACTAGGGGAACTGTGAGTATATTTCCTTTAAATTAAAACTAGCCTAATGCCATCGTGGTGGGTAGCCTTCTTAAACAGTATTTAAATGTGCTTATTTTCATTTTTTTAAAAGCCCTTAAAAGTGTTTTTTTTTTATTGGGTGTTTTTCAAAACTGCTCAATTTTCCCTTTTGGAAAATGAGATTATTTTCTTTAACATGTCGATTGTCGCCACATGTAATGCAAAAGCGTGATTTTCACATTGTTCTATTCAATGTTTTCACAATGCATTTTGGCGTACTGTCGGTCCGTATCGCATGGAAAGCGCCAATCATTTTACATGTTTGATGAAATACTTGCGAATCCGCATATACGTTATACTGAGCTAGGTTCGGTGAGATCATCGTACTCTCATGTGCAATTCTGCTGCATTTTGTAAAATGTTCTCAATTTCAGGCTTCATTTCCCACCCTCTGAAATGGAACCGAAAAATCTCTCGATCTTTTTATGGTGGCTAGTATAATCAAGAAAAGAGTTCTTTATCAGAAGCTAGTTATTTTATCATAATCATGTAATTGTCTTTAAAAACTATTTTGCATTTTGTTAATGTATATAGTGCTTAAAAAAATTCTTTGAGTGCTTAAAAGGTGCTTATTTTTTGTTGAAAGATTTGGCTACTCACCCTGGCCATTATTTGGTTCATTTTGCTCATAGTCCATATGATGGGGGTGGTCAGTCGAATTTAATGGTTAGTTAAGTTAGCCTCATAGTAGTATTAAGCATATTTTTGGCCGTTTCAAATTCATTTTAATTTGGATATGATGCAGGAATAATTATCCCAGTAAAATGAATAAAATCATTCAGGAAAAATTTATTTATTAAGTAAGTAGTAAATAGAATATGTCCGCATTCAAAAATTATATAAATAAGGAAAAGAAGTCTTTTAAAAGGATCTAGAAAGTTACTCTTTTCACATCAAGAATATATTTGTAAAAATATCTATTAAGAATCTTTCCATTAAGAATGAAAAAAATTCTGCAATGACTAATTGATATTATAAAAAGTAATTTCAAAATCTATAAAATTTTCAAAAAAGTTGACTACACAAATGTTTTTTAGAAGAGGAGAATATCGCCAATAATAGCAAAATATGTTTTCTTTTATATGTATAGATAACAAAAAAACATTCTTACATTTATAATTTAAATAAATTAGTCACTGTTCTATTCTATACATGAAGGAGTTTTTTAAAAAAATTTGTCATTTGTTTTTTCTAAACAGAAAGTGCTTGTGTTACTTGAAATTAGTAATATATATATATATATATATAACACAATAGATAAATACAAAAAGAACAACAAAAAAAGAAGAAAATTAAGAAAAACAATAAGTTTTATTTACTGCGCATAAGCTGCAAGTAAATAGAACTCGTAAAACAGGTTCAAAATGTAGAGAAGGGATGGAAAAATTACAGAATAATGAAAAAAGGGAAAAAGAAAAATAATAATAATAAAAATCCGTGGAAAAATTTCCGAAGAAAGAAAATTTTTTTATATAAGTCCGGAAAAAAGATATAATCTTTTCATCAGCTCACACTATTATATCTGCGAAAAGGAGTGCTTTCTAATATTGTATCAATATGGCTTTTATATATATATATATATTTGCTACTATTAAAAATGTCTTTCAGAAAGGTTTTAGTACTAGAGAGAATTGTCGCTCAGAGATCTAAAAAATTCTGCCACTGGTATGCTGTGACCAGTTTCCTTTCATGTTAAGCGATAATCAGCTTGAAAATTTAATGTTAAATGTGTAAAATACGAAAATAAATGATTGCCGACTCACGGGACCAAACATGTGTCTCATGTAAAGCGATATTTCACGTTAAGCGGTTTCACGTTGGTGAGGTTCAACTCTATTTCTATAATGCTAAGCATTATTTTTTGTTTTTAGTTAAAGCCTAGTGGTTGGACTGTGCAAGATTTAACGCCAAAGACTTGTAGAGTTACTTATTTAGTTCAGGTAATGATTCTTGCATTCATTCATTCATTAGATTTCTGATAACGAGAAATCTATTTTCTTTTGAAATATTGAGGTTTATTTTATTTTGAGGAACATGACATGATTTTGATTATTATGATTTTGATTATTATGATTTCTTGAGTGGGGTTGTGATTAAACTGTGGCATTGTCTGAGGTTTACAAACTTTCTTAGTAATTTTTGATTAACACAAATATTTATGAGAGATGACTGTGCTCCTTAAAAAATCGGAAAACCTTTCGGATTTTTCGCCTAACTGCTCTCCGGAAGTTTCAAGAAATCATCGATCACATTTATATTTAAAAAAACTTTTTTTTTAAAATATTAGAATATTTATTATTATATTTTATTTAAAAATATTGGAATATTTATACTTGGCATCTCTTTAATTTGTTTCTGGTAGAATAGTAAATGTGATTAGAGGTAAAAGTAAATGCATAATTATTCATTTAAATTAAGCTGCATTTAATTTATTTAGAATTCCATGTTTTGGAAATATCAATTATTTAAATTTATAAAGGCATTCCTTAATAATTTTGCTCAAGAAATTTTCAGGATTTTTGAGTTGGACTCACAATCGCCCCTGATTTATTCACTGATGCCTTGGTTTTTTCCTTTTGAATTATGAAATTTGTGGTTGCATTTTTCGAGCATAAATTGAATTGAAATTTACTGGGTTAATACATTTCATTGAAAACCTGAAGAACCTGGAAAACTTAAAAATGGGGAACTTAAAAGTAGCTTAAGCTCAGGAAAAATGAAAATTTTGATAAAAACCTCAACTAAAAGAAGTTAACATCTTGGAAAAATTGTTACTTCTGACATTTTTTTATTTAATTGTCATGATTTTTTTTTTTACTTAAAACTCTCTCTCACAGATTATTAGTTTTCCAATGCAGATTAATGAGGTTATTTTCATTTATATACCATTGATTAGTTAAAAGTCTCTTTTTTTAAGAACTTTATAAAATTTATTTTTGATTAATCAATGTTTGAAATTTTTTTTACGATGTAATTATTACTTAAGTAAAAATTTTGAATTAAAGGTAAGAGTTTTAATTTTTATAAAGTTTGTAGATTGTTAATAATAATCAGTCCTTTGTTTTAAATTCTAACAAGCATTGGAAATTATTTAAACACAATATTTTGATTTGTAGATGTCTCACTGTATGGGTAGTGATCATAAAAGCTGCATTATTTTAGTAGTTAACTACACTTGTTTTTTTGTTTTTTTTTTTACCAATTTAGTTAAATACATCGCTAATTATATTTTTAAAAATATAGTCACTCTCTCACAGTTTTTAGCAGACAAACTTCCCTGGCGAACTTAATTTACACCCATGTTCAAAATTGTTTTGAATAAATAATTGACTTATTTAAATTTGGGGAATTTTTAAGAAAAATTTATTCAGGCCTTACCTTCAATTTTGAATGTCTTTCTCGACTGTGAATACTTAATTTAAGAAATATGAGGAAATTTTGCAGTTTTGTTTAATGTTCAATGCTCTTTATTTCCTCTTAAATAAAGTAAATCTGAAATTACAGAGAAAATATGTTCTCTTTTGAAATAAAATTAATTTTACGTGATTCACATTTGAAGGTGTGGCCGAAATGATACATTATTTATTATTACACTACTTATTGCATTCAATCACTTTGCATCCATATATTATTCTATTGTAAAAGGCAACCAGATGCTTTGTATGAATGATAATAATTTTGTATTGATTTTGATGCATAAGAATTAATTGTTCATGCTTTAAAAATTTTATTGATGTTTTTTGTCTATAAATATTATCATATTTTCGCCATCAACATAATTGCATTTTGGCGTGTATTATTTTAGATAGCTGTTGACAATCAGGGAATTTTTTCTCAGATATTATGAATGAATCCTAATATATTGCTCAGCCACTGATCTTTGAGCATCACTTACTAGCACCAGCAATAAGTGTACCCGATAATAAAAAAGGCTAAAATTCGCTGTTTTTTTTATAGCTTTTTAAATATCACTCAATGTGATACACATTTATTGCCAGAAACTAATGCCTGCCTGTGTTGTTTTGAAATTTTAAAAAATAAAATTGTATTCTATTGAGTATAATTCTTAAAGAAAAATTCATTGTGATCTTTTTGAGATTCCTTTATTTTATTTCTGCCATTATCACATTTCACGCAAAGAGAAAATAGTTTTTTTTAAAAACCATTTTGTCACTTTTCATAAAAATGTATTCAGAAAAGCAATCATTAATATAAATAAAAAGTGGTAGTGTGTATGTTACCGTGAATGACCGAAATCAAGTGAATGTCGACTTTCACCGGTGAATGTCAACAATCACAGTCGCTTTGGTGAATGTGCAAAATATTTGTTATATCCGATTTTATATTAATTTATTCGTTGATATTACTTATATTTATTCGATATTTTAATATCTGCTGGGAATAGATTTGGAGAAACAGCATTGTCCGGAGTAGTGGCACTGAACCTTAAAAAACATCTGTGTAGGGTATACCGGGCAGATGTATACTGGGCACTTAACTAGACCTGGTATATATTTAGGACATTTACCAAAGCTACTATGTGATTGTCAACATTCACCGTTGGAAGTCAACAACCACCAATTTCGGTCATTCACAGTGACATATATAAAGATGTAACAAATATAATAGAGTTGTTTTTGCTTTCACTTTGTTTCTACCATATTTAAATGTACATTACTTAAAAGTGTGCTTATAAAAATTAATTTTGAAATAAGTAGTGGCCAATAAAATTTATTCAAGCATTCTGCCCCCAAATAAATTTATATCTAAATAATTCAGCCACCACTTTTTTTTTAAATTCTGATTTTCACCACCCTGGTAAAGTATGTAATTGATATTTTTATAATTTCAGATTTTACTGAATAGTCCAGATAATGTGTTTATTCAGGAGTTGAACTCATTAGTCCCTCAATCTCTGTATAACCTTAGACAATTCATAACATCAAGACCAAAGTGAAAATATTTTTTAGTGTGTTTTTTTCTGTTATGTATATTTTGTAATTGTGAGTGAGTGTGTTGTTTTTTATACTTTTTATAAAGCACTAATATAAATAAAATTGTTTTCATTTTTACACATACTATTACCATTTTTTGCTTTCATTTTGTAAATTAAAGACATATACATCTGTGGGGGATGAGTTGTTATAGACCAGGGATGGCGAACCAATGACACGCGTGCCATTTTTGGCACGCGACACAATATTTTGGGCATGCCACCAATCACAAAGTTCACTATGAAGCATATTAACTATTAAATTAGAATTCACAAAAAACAAAAATAATAAATAAACAATTATTAACAAAAAAATTAACAATTAATGCCAAAAAAACAATTAATAACCATAAAAAATAACTAGCAAAAAAAATAAAAATAAATAAACAGTCCTGCTTAAACTAACATCTTACAACCTAATATAAATTATTTGTCATCTAATCTGCAACAACAGAAGTCACACTGATGTTACTTTAAGTTGAATTTCGCATATGACTGAGACATTGCAAAATGTGTGTTTTTATATTTTTTTAAAATAATAAATAGAGTTTTGAGTTGATACTATTTTGTATTATTATTTTCCCAATAATCACGAAGTCAAAATTATTTGACGGCACGCCTATGGCCTCATTAAACAATTTTTTGGAAATAATGGCACGTTGGTGAATAAAGGTTCGCCACCCCTGTTATAGACAATGTCAACCTTCGTCTATGTAAAGGTACCCCGACATGGAATCGAGTTAACATGTCTTATATACTAGTAAATTGGAATGGTATTTTTATAGTGGTAGATACACTACAGTACTGCCCCACCAGAATTATATCTCTGATAGAATGCGATGAACGGATACCGCTAGTTGATTCATTGCTGTTTTGTGAGAAACCGGGAGAGCTGTAATTAGATCATCGTACTTTTTGATTGCTGATTGTGAGAGCTGTATTAAGTTCACGATCGTGGTTGCTCCTGTGTTGTCATTAGCAGTCGAGTGAATGTGTTGTACGTTGCGTGTGATCGAAACTGAGTAGCAACATCATGAGGATGTGAATAATGTAGCAGTCACAAGTAGCAAGTCAACTGTTGACCATCCATCGAAGTGGGCGTTTCTGCCAAGATAGACGTGTTCATATCGAAGCGGGCGTTACTGCCAAGGTAGGCGTGTTCACATCACGTCCGAAGGTCACCAATGTGGGGGATGAGTTGTTATCGACCATGTCAACCTTCATCTATGACGAGGTTCCCCAACATAGAATCGAGTTAACATGTCTTAAGTACAAATTAACAAATTAATTTGAATTATATATTTGTAGTGGTAGATACACTACACATCTTTCTATTTGTCTTGGGAAGTTCTTTCTATTTCAGTGGCTTACTTTGTTAGTGGGATTAAGAATATATCAAAATTATCTTCAGCAACTCTGTGTTCTTTTTATTCAGGTAATTTTATCTAGCACAAGCCATGGCAGTATCCGTTAGCCACCATTGCAGCCGATCTAGCCCTACAAATTTCGAACTTTTAACATCCAGCACAGTGTTTTTTTTAAAAATTTTTATTTTATTTATTTATTATTTTTTTTAATAAACTTTGTACAGGGTGCGTAGCATTTTTAAAAAGTGTTTAAAGGCGCTTATTTTTGATTTGCGTTTTTTAAAAGCCCTTAAAGGTGCTTTTTTTCTTTGGGGTTTGTAAAAATTGCTTAATTTTCTATCTTTTAAAAAGAGACTTTTTCTTTGCCGTGTTGATTGTCATCATAAATTACAAAAAATGTGTGATTTTCACAATTTTTTCTGCAATATTTATCAGAAACTAGTTATTTTATCATGATTATGTAAAGTTTATGGAAATGTTTTTGAATCTTATGTTTATAATTTAAGAACTTTAAGCAATAGAAATTTTTTTTGTATTACTACACAGATCCTAATTGCGAAATTTTTTTTTGGAAAGTGATTAAAACTAATTTTTGAGTGTTAAAAAAGTATTTAAAGGGTGCTTATTTTTGTTGAAAAGTTTAGCTATGCACCTTGTTGTCAAGTCACCGAAATAGTGGATCGGTAGGTCTGAAATCAGTCTTGAGCGGAATGATTTTTTGTCCTCGACTAAATATTTATTTTTAATCATATAATATATGTAATATTTATTTTCATTTTATATTTATTTTCAAGTTCAGTTTTCATTTACAAGTTTAACTTTTTCTTTAAAAATGTAATAATTATTTTATGCTAAAATAAATTAAGAAATTATTACTATTTATGAAAGCCTTGTTTTTTATAATTATTGCAAAATGATCAAGTAATGATGTCGTGGTACAACAATGAAAGAATGGAATTGCTCGACTTTCAAGATCTGCTTGTCTAAACAAAATATTGTTGAATCTAAACCTGATTGAAGTTGTATTTTTTACCCCAACATTTTCAGATAGTGAGCTGAAAGTTAAATTAACATTATTTTTTAAAATATCACATTCATAGGTCTACAACAAAACATTAATATAGCCCATTGTGCAGCTCTAGTGCGACGTAAAATTAACAACAACAACAAAACATTAATGATGATGAAGTGTAAAATAAGTAGAAATATGCATGGCTCTAAGAAAAAATTAGTAGTGTATTTTAGCAATCAGTGTAAAAAATTATACAAAGTTTTTTTTAGCTGTAAAAAGTAGTGAAATGAGGAAAAATATGCTTTCTATAACATGTGAGCCATTCTCATGGAAAGTGAGCTGTAAATTTCTGAAAAAACCTTCGAAATAGCGCTACACCTTGTTATTATTATTTTTTTTCATAACCGTTGTTGAACAGACGAAGACAATAGAACTCCTGGATCAAGTAGTGGGAGAAATTTACCTTCGTGGAGGACTTTTTGATGAAACTAACCTGCCTTTGCGTTACATGGAGAAGAAGACCACGAGAGCCTCCCACGGTTAGCCTCACGGCAAGGGGACTCTTAACATGGTGCAAGCCGGATGCGGAATTCGTGGCGACTGGGATTCGAACCCGGTATACCCGGTTCTCATTTGAAGATGAACGCTCTATCCCCTGAGCCATCGCGGCATACAACGTATTAATTGGTGAAAAAACAAGTTCAGTCTTGAAATGTTTCTGGAGTGACACCCATGATAGTATCCTTCGCTTTCTACAATGTCTGAGGATGAGCCATGGTGGCTCAGGGGATAGAGCGTTCGCTTTCCAATGAGGTGAAACGGATTCGAATCCCAGCGATGGCTGGTCGATACGAATTTCGCATCCGGCTTGCACCGACCACAGTGTTGACGGAAAATATCCTCAGTAATAGATGGATCATGGGTTAGAGTTCCCTTGCCGTCAGGCTAATCGTGGAAGGTTTTCGTGGTCTTCTCCATGTAACGCAAACGTGGGTTTGTTCCATCAAAATTTGCTCCACGAAGGCAAAATTTCTCCCCATACTTGATCCAGGAGTTCCCTTGTCTTCTGGATTGNTTTTAAATTTTTTTTTTTTAAATAAACTTTGTCCAGGGTGTGTAGCATTTTTTAAAAGAGCTTAAAGGCACATATTTTTGATTTACGTTTTTTAAAAGCCCTTAAAGGTGCTTTTTTTCTTTGGGGTTTGTAAAAAGTGCTTAATTTTCTATCTTTTAAAAAGAGACTTTTTCTTTGCCGTGTTGATTGTCATCATAAATTACAAAAAATGTGTGATTTTCAAAATTTTTTCTGTAATATTTATCAGAAATTAGTTATTTTATCATGATTATGTAAAGTTTATAGAAATGTTTTTGAATTTTATTGATTTTATGTTTATAAATTAAGAACTTTAAACAATAGAAAAAAATAATTTTTATTACTACACAGATCCTAATTACAATTTTTTTTTTCGAAAGTGATTAAAACTATTTTTGAGTGTTTAAAAAGTATTTAAAAGGTGCTTATTTTTTGCTGAAAAGTCTAGCTTGTTGTCAAGTCACCTAAATGGTAGATGGGTGCCACTCTTCAGTCCCAAAGACTGAAATCAGTCTTGAGCGGAATGATTTTTTGTCCTCGAATAAATATTTATTTTCAATCATATAATATATGTTATATTTATTTTCATTTTATATTTATTTTCAAGTTCAGTTTTCATTTACAAGTTTAACTTTTTCTCTGACAATGTAATAATTATTTTGTGCTAAAATAAATTAAGAAATTATTACTATTTATGAAAACATTGTTTTTTTTAATAATTATTGCAAAATGATTAAGTAATGATGTCGTGGTACAACAATGAAAGAATGGAATTCTCGACTTTCAAGATCTACTTGTCTAAACAAAATATTGTTAAATCTAAACCTGCTTGAAGTTGTATTTGTAACCCCAACATTTTCAGATAGTGAGCTGAAAGTTAAATTAGCATTATTTTTTAAAATATCACATTTATAGGTCTACAACAAAACATTAATGATGATGAAGTGTAAAATAAGTAGAAGTATGCATGGCTCTAAGAAAAAATTAGTAGTGTATTTTAGCAAGCAGTGTAAAAAATTGTACAAAGTTTTTTTTTTAGCGGTAAAAAATAGTTAAATGCAGAAAAATATGCTTTCTATAACATGTGAGCCATTCTCATGGAAAGTGAGCCGTGAATTTCTGAAAAAATCTTCGAAATAGCGCTACACCTTATTATTATTTTTTTCATAACCGTCGTTGAGCAGACGAAGACAATAGAACTCCTGGATCAAGTAGTGGGAGAAATTTACCTTCGTGGAGGACTTTTTGATGGAACTAACCTGCCTTTGCGTTACATGGAGAAGAAGACCACGAGAACCTCCCACGGTTAGCCTCATGGCAAGGGGACTCTAACACGGTGCAAGCCGGATGCGGAATTCGTTGCGACTGGGATTCGAACCCGGTATACCCGGTTCTCATTTGAAGATGAACGCTCTATCCTCTGAGCCATCGCGGCATACAACGTATTAATTGGTGAAAGAACAAGTTCAGTCTTGAAATGTTTCTGGAGTGACACCCATGATAGTAACCTTCGCCTTCTACAATGTCTGAGGATGAGCCATGGTGGCTCAGGGGATAGAGCATTCGCTTTCCAATCAGGTGAAACGGATTCGAATCCCAGCGATGGCTG